TTGTAATTTCACTGAAAGTTCAGTGTCTAAAATGTAATTAACCCTGGCTTTCCAAAATAAAGCAAGGTCAATATCGTAATTTGCGTTCATTTCGGTGGCTCAACAGATTTAACGGTTAACGCCGCTTCAAATTTCCCCCGATAAGCTTCGTTGTTCCCACGTTCAAGTGCGTCTCTCTGTGAGAGAGAGAGATATATAGAGAGAGAGAGATAGAGAGAGAGAGAGAGAGAGAGAGAGAGAGAGAGAGGCTTGCTGTTGGAAGTTAAGAGCATTGTTCCTCTCTTTATCAACTTCCATTGGCCACTTTGTTACTGTTTTGAATTGAAATTTTATTGAGATCGTGGAGAGAAGGGGTGGGCTGAGATTTTCGTCGACCTTTATGTTTTGCAGCCATATTTGCTTTAGTCTACTTTAATTTTGTTTGCTTTATTCAAAGCGGAAAGTAATTTTCAAATTTTCAAGTTTACCCTTCAAAATTTAGTTTAAAAAAATGTTGATTTTCAACATGCTTTTTAAAGGAAATTCAGCTAAGCTTTACCCTTAAAGTTCTTGAACTTACTAATCTACATCACTTTTTGGCGGATTCACTCAATATGCAGTCTTTTAATCTAGCAGTGTTGAGCAATTTCACGATGATTCTGATTCACTGATCAATTGTGAGAGAAGTTTCACAACGGTTTTTACACTTGGTTATGGAGATCATAACGGTTACGTATAGGATTTATTTTTGTTATTACTCATGGAGAACCTGAAGAAAGGAAGCTTCAGCTCTGACCTTTCAACTAGAACCCGAATCAGAAATCTTTATTCACCAACATTCAACGAAAATGACACCAGAAGGTGAACTCTTGTGAATATTTCAGTTTTGACAGGCCTTTTTGGAAAATTATTTAAAGAGCATCTTACTTGGGCTTGAAGGATTATTGGGGTCACTGTTAGGCAAAACTGTCTGTTACGAGTTTCTGACTCTATCAAAAGGGAATTTTAGGTTTCTGTTGAAAGAAAAGGCTCAAGGCCAAAGATTAATCAAAGTGGTTAATCACAACTAATCCCTTCGAATCATTATGCTTTTAGCTTAAGCAATATTTCAGCAGTTACTAATTTTTCTATAATTAGCTTTTTTCTGTTGCGTTGCAGATTAATAATGCTGTTATGACCAGTTGGAGGGCGGTAGAGTTTCTATTGCAAACTCAACAACCCCATCTATTAACAGCCTAACTTTTTAGCCCTTTTCTGCTAGGAATGGACCATTGAGAAGTTCTGTATTAGTTTCCCTTCTGTTTAGTGGTTTGGGGATAACCTTAATTATAGTCTTTTCACGTTTGGTGTGATTTGAGTGGGTTTTTTAGGGCTAATAGGGGTAGGAGTTGAGAAATGGGGGCTATTGATGGAGAAGAATTGATGAATTGGGAGAAGATACAAGTCGGAGGCAATGGAAAGGAAGAGAAGATTCTGGTGTTGGTGAGATTGAGGCCTTTGAGTGAAAAAGAAATTGCACAGAATGAGGTTGCTGATTGGGAATGCATCAATTCAACCACCATTTTGTACCGGAACAGCCTTCAAGAGCGGTCTGGACTTCCCACAGCTTACCCATTCGGTAAGAAAAATGACTCATTTTGTTTCAAATTAATATTTAATTAAGTTTTAGCATGGGGAGGAGAATATATATGTTGTCTGCATGAGCATAAACATTTACTTCTTTTACGAAGAATTCTATGTTGCAAGTTACCCATTATTCAACCCTTTCATGCAGATCGTTGGTTTATTCAGAATGCAGGAGCCATTTTAAGACACTAGAGATAATTTTAATCTTACGGCAAACTTAAAGTTAATTTATGGGACTTCATGGTCAAGCAATTTAGTCTGTTTTAAATGTTTCTGTGTACTAGACAAACAAAAGGGGTGTTGTTGAGACTTATATGTTAGTGATCTTTATAGATTTTTGTGTTTATGAAGAATTGTAGTTACCAGCAACTTACTTTCTTCCCTTGTTGGCGTTTTTTATTTTTTTTTTATTTTTTTATGTGTTTATGTGGGCAGATAGAGTATTTAGGGGTGACTGTGGCACGAGGGAAGTTTATGAGGAAGGAGCAAAGGACATTGCCCTTTCCGTTGTCGGCGGCATCAACTGTAAGTATACCTTTGCTTTCTGTTTATTGATTTAGTTCGTCATTTTTTCTCTCAATAATTTTGTTTGCCTTGAGTATCAGATGAAAATCTAAGTGCTCTAACTCACATTAAAAATTCTATTCAGCTACTATTTTCGCATATGGCCAAACAAGCAGCGGAAAGACATATACCATGAATGGGATTACTGAGTATGCTGTGGCTGACATTTATGATTACATACGCAGGGTATTTAAATAATAAATATGGTGTTAATTTTAGTTTCTTTATATGGATAGCGATGTAAAAGACATCTTTTCTTATGGATTTTTGGGGTCTTATGTTTCTTTAATTGTTTCTTAAAAAAAATAATTTCTTTAGCATGAGGAACGGGCATTTATGTTGAAGTTTTCTGCCATGGAAATTTACAATGAAGTTGTTAAAGACCTTCTCTGCAATGACAATACTCCACTCAGGCTGCTTGATGACCCAGAGGTGAGCTCTCATGAGCTTACTTTCTAATATAAGCACACATTTCTTTTTACTTACTGATCCATTTCTCCAGAAAGGAACAATTATAGAGAAACTCACAGAAGAAACCCTGAGGGATTGGAGTCATCTCAAGGAACTTTTAGCCATCTGTGAAGGTAGGGCGAGTGTTATGGCTATCAATTCTTCATTGCCTCGTCTTAACCATCTAATCATGTAGAATAAATGTGTTTCTGTGGCGTTATTCTCATAGCACAAAGACAAACTGGGGAAACGTCGTTGAATGAAACAAGCTCAAGATCTCATCAAATTCTTAGATTGGTGCACGATTTCTCCTCTTCCTTTCTGGTTCTTTAATTTTATGATTGAAATTTCTGGGAATGCCCTAGAAGTCCTATAATTAGCTAATTTATACTTGACTTTTCAGACGATTGAAAGTTCAGCTCGTGAGTTCTTAGGGAAAGAAAACTCAGCCACCCTTTCTGCTAGTGTGGTATTGAAAATAACTTTTTCTTGTAGTTTTGAAGATTAATACATGCAACTAGTTCAATGATTTGAATTTGTAAATCGAAGAATTTGAAATGAAAATTCACTTAATTTTTGCCTGCAGAATTTTGTTGATCTGGCAGGAAGTGAGCGTGCATCTCAATCATTATCAGTTGGGCAAAGGCTGAAAGAAGGCTGCCACATCAATCGTAGTTTACTAACTCTAGGAACTGTGATTCGCAAGCTAAGGTTGACTAATATTGTCTGTCCTCTTCTCTTTTGCTTTAGCTTCTTGTTTGAATTGACTGTATCTCGAATGTAACAAGTGGTCCTTTATTATCACTAATATTGTATTATTTATATTTTATTTGGAGGTAGTTCCTTTTTTCTTGGTCCAAAGATGACAAATACTGAATTTATCCATTTTATTGCATTTTCCCCCTCACCCCTACGAATTCTATATCAGAAGGCATTTCTTTCCACCTTCTCCTAAGAATTCCATTTTAGAGGCGAATATCAGTTTGGGAGACATGTTTTTTCTATCTGTAAAGATGAGATGTCAAGTCTCTCCCCCTCCCAACTCACATGTTTCCACGCTTTGAATTACCAACTGTATATGATTTGTGTAGTTCTAAGTCAAGAATAACTCTAAATTTTAGCCATATGCTAAATGCAGCAAAGGAAGACATGGGCATGTGAATTACAGAGATTCTAAGCTAACACGGATTCTACAACCTGCCTTGGGAGGCAATGGAAGAACTACCATCGTTTGCACTTTGAGCCCCGCAAGATGCCATGTTGAGCAATCAAGGAATACCCTTTTATTTGCTACCTGTGCAAAGGAAGTAACTACAAGTGCACAGGTCAATGTAGTAATGTCTGATAAGGCCTTGGTGAAACATCTGCAGAAAGAGGTAGCCAGGTTGGAGGGCGAGTTGCGATCTCCTGGACCAATCTGTGATCATGCAGCACTGCTAAGCAAGAAAGATCTGCAGATTGAAAAGGTATTATGAATTTTGTTTAAATTTAATCCATATTGTATGGTCTTCTTTAATGTTTAAAATGGTTGGGATTCTGTTTTAATTTCACTGAAACAATATGCTTTTGTTCACACGCTTAATGGAGAAAATCATTGTTTTCAATAACCCAGCAGTCAAAAAGCTTATTACAAGAAGAACAATATATCTAGAAGCTCGTGACATTGGTATATTTTGCTTCCTGATAATGTATACTAGAAAATATCTTCTCTAATTAGGATAAAATAAATAGCAATTCTTCCATGTGTAAGTCCTCTAAAAAACTATTTCCTATCTTTAAACCATTTGTAACCAAAGCCCTTAATGTTATGTATCAGTTGTCAGGTCAAGAAATACTTTTGGAATTGTCATGACACAAAGCTCTCAAATTACTTGCGGCATGCTAACATGATTGCTTGGTGTATATGCAGTTGGAGAAAGAAGTTAGGGAGCTGACTAAGCAGCGAGATCTTGCTAGATCTCATGTTGAGGAATTGTTGCAGGAGGTTGGAAATCACAAGAGTTCAAATAAATTGATATGTGTTTCCCCCTCCCCTTTCCTCTTTCTTCCTACACACTCATACACATACAGAGACCTCGGGGTATTACACAATACGATTTCTAATTAATTTTTATTTCATTTAATTTTCTAGGATGCCCTTGGATGTCCTCCTAAATTGCAAGAAGAGAAAACACACAAAGACACATATCCAGCAACAAGGTTATTGCGTGGAACCAATCATCATTATATAAATTCAAGTTCTAGGAAGCTTAATGGAATTCAGTCTCGTAATAAGGACATCAAGAGTGGTGCAAGGTCGGACCAACTGCTGTCCGAAGACAGTGAGGATCATTCTTCATCTTATGATATGTCTGATCTGAGTCAAGGAAGAGATAATCTCCCAGTAGTAGCAAACGAAGATTCTGACGAAGTTTGTAAAGAAGTTCGATGTATTGAGTTGGAAAAAGATTTGTCAAACAGTGAGAATGATGGAAGAATGTCAATACTATTGGAGTCCGGTAGTAGATTTGCTGCCAATCCAGTGCTATCAGTAGATCCTGGAGTTGAAAATGGTTGCTCCGATGAAATGTTGAAGCATAAAATGCAAGATGTGCAAAATACCATGGAGTCTCTAACCAGCACTTGCGGGGATGAATTGTCCCCGTCAATCAATATATTGGATTCTGCAAACCTGAAATTGACAAGTAGTGAGAGTTACAAAACTAATTTAGTGACTGGTTCACCTGAATTTCAGATTGCAAAAGAAATAGAAACCACCCCTCCACCTACTGGGACAGGAAAAAGCTTCCCAGGCAGACCAGAAAGCTTCCAAAGGAAGAACTGGAATCTTCCCCCTATGATATATGCTGCAAATGGAATGAGATTGTCCAGAAATAATTCACAGTCTTCATATGGTAGCATTTTTCCCGATGAAGTAAAAGCCGAGGACAACATCCATGGAGATGACGACATTCCTACCCTTGGTTCCTTTGTAGCAGGACTCAGGGAGATGGCTAAGCTTCAGTATAAAGAGAAACTCGATGATCAGGTGATAGTAGCCAGAATTCTTAACTGCTCTATCCTTGTAACATTTCAATTTTTCGCCCTTCTCGTACTTTTTTCTTCCCATTAATATTTTTCTTCACATATTTAAATAGCTGCATCCTGGGAAAATGCAATGGTGATAAATTGGGCTTTATGATTATTAAGCTTCTACTGTATTCTTATATCTAGGTTCAAGAGCCTGAATCAAGAGCTCGAAAGAGCGTCGGAGATGAATTGGATGCAAGGTATGATTCTTTGGGAGCTCCCTCAAATTGGCTTCTGAAGTTTGAAAGACTGCGGGGATTAATAATTGAATTATGGCAAGCCTGCAATGTTTCGTTGGTACATAGGACATACTTCTTCCACCTTTTTAAAGGTGACTTGGCAGATTCCATTTACATGGAGGTAGAACACAGGAGACTATCCTTCCTCAAGGAGACATTTTCTGAGGGAAATATAACTGTACAAGATGGCCACACACACACATTGGGATCAAGGTATCTTCTATTACTCTCGATTCCCACGAAAAGAAAAAAAGAAGTCGCGTATCGTATTTTACTAGATTTTGTCCCTTCTGCTGTCGAAATTAGTAGATAGCCTGTGTTATTCGTATATCAAGTATCTGATCATTGTAGAGAGAAGATTGTTTTCAAAAAGCCGCCTCTCCCATGAAAATGACATAAAAATAGGACATTGAAGATATAAGACTCTTTTGACTTTGTGTCATATTCTTGTAATAATTTTGCCTCAGGTTAGTTATTTCCTATTGATGATTCCCATTTATTGTTTTCTTGGAGTGACAGCATCAAAGCTCTTCGCCGTGAGAGGGAGATGCTAAGCAAGCTTATGTATAAAAGATATACAGAAGATGAAAGGAACAGAATTTACCAGATATGGGGTATAAAATTGAACTCAAAACAGAGGAGGTTGCAGCTGGTCCATCGTCTTTGGAGTGACACTAAAGACATGAATCACATTTCAGATAGTGCAGCCATAGTTGCGAAGCTGATTGGATTCTTAGAGCAAGGGCAAGCCCTCAAGGAGATGTTTGGTCTCAGTTTCACTCCTCCACGCTCTCTCCGGAGATCCTTTAACTGGAAAAGCAGTATGACATCCCTTCTCTGAGCATGTAGCTGTTTGACAAAAAACTTTGTTCATTCTCAGTACATAGTACTGGACAAATAATGAACAATAACTTGAATTCATTGTTAGATCTAGCAATGAAAAATGACGAAAAATGCTTCATGTAGCATAGTCCAAATTTATTGGGCAGAAGGCCTAGATTTTTGTTGTATTGTCCGGTGTGGTTTAAGTCACATTGAAAACACATGCCATTTTAGGTAGAATTAGATATAAGATATGAGTGGTTACTTTTAAATGGTTGATTTGAGTATATCATGCCAATGAACTGTGAAATCTAGGCATTTTTCATCCTTTCGTCTGAAGTGGTATGTAATATCTCCGATATGGTTCTCTCTTAATTTTACTTGTCAAATACTTTTTGTTAAAATGATTGGTTGGTGAACTTTTTATTAGTGGGATATCAGTAAATGAAATTTTCGGTGATGCACAGTGCTAACTGTTCTTGTTAGAAGCTTGTCCCGTCCGCAATATTGAATAGTATCATGAGTATTGGTATCCATCTTTAATGCTAGACTATGACTTGTTTTTAACTACAAGGGATTTATGAAATTTTGATAGAGTTTCCTTGTAAAATGAATTAAGAATTTTTTATTGCTTTCTGTTTGATTTAGTCTATTGCGCTAATGTGACAAGGGCAGCGACAGCCCTGTAACCCTTATTGGAGGGGCGCAATAGGGGGCGCCGGCCCCACCGACGCCTATTTACAAGGG